TGACGTATGATATCTATTATCTCCTCTAGCGGCGTCTCTGCAGATGGGGATGCTCTTTCAGAAGAGACCATGAATTTCGTGGAGACATCAAGATTCTTCAAGATTTCTGAGAATTCGAAGGCATCTTTCAGACCGTGAGCAGTCGAATTCATTCACATGGTTCTTGTCAGCAACCGACCAAGCTGCTGGGATGATGAGTTGATCGGTGATGCTGTAGGTTCCATCAAGGCATTCACTTTGTGCAATTACGGCAGTCCGTAAAGATGTGGTAGTCGGGATCCACAAGATTTCAGCCCCTTGTGGGTTGCACTGTCGATTGACTTGCTCTTCAGACGTTCCGTTGTAACCCATCTTTCTGTTGTTTCAGCCATGTCCCGCATCCACCGTTTCACATGTGCCTGTCAAAGCATATACGCTGGCAAAACTCACAGAAGGGTTATTGTCTGTGCTCAGGAATGTGTTCTGAAGAATTGGAATCTCGTATGTCTTTGGGGCTTGAGTAGAGAAATCGCTTTACTTTGACTTGATTCTGCGCATAATGTCGGCGTGTCGAAACGGTTCCGAGTGATCGATGAACTGAAGCCTGATCTCCTACACCCTGCCGAAGCGATTGCAGTTAAAGTACTCAAACATGATCTGCCTATCCGAAAAGATACAGGTGTCAGTCTTCCCTTACCTTGGCAATTTTAATACTGTAAACTCGCAACCACACGTTTCATGATCCCGTGACCTTCCTCATTTTTCATCTTGTCTTTCAATCTATTCCAGAGCCTACTCTCATTTTCTGAGTTGTATTGATCGTATTGCTCGGCACGATAAAAGTATGTTAACCTTTTATTGCGCTTATTGAACCACAATGTCATTTCTACCAACTCTGGAACGACCAGTGCGCAGTCCCCTCCCATTTTTTGGAGTGTTCTCCAGAATTTCAACCCTGTCGATGTGTAAGCAGTTAACTTTTGAGCAGTCCAAACAACTTCACCCAATTTCACCAGTTCCAGTGAACCGAAACCTCTGTTGCCACCCATCTAACTCGAGATACTTGTCGATTTATGAAAGTACGTCGAATAGCATGCTTTTTAACACGAACATTATATTCCGAAGTCGGCAAAGCAGCCGACGAAAATCCGCAAAATGCATGCATTCTAATCCTAACGCTATGCTTTCGTTGTGGATTGGGTGATGGTCAGAGGAAATTATGTTCAACCGCGCTTTCGCGACATGAAGTAAGTTGAGGCAGATCTGTGGCCTCGCATCCGTCCAACATTTTCGGTTACCTTGATACTGACCATACTTCGTTGCCATCATTGTTGGGGCCGTAGTTCAGTATACCACTTCTCTTATAGATGTGTCAATTCTCCAGTTATCCTCCCCTTGGGGACATCTCAACTGTTGCCATTTCTATCCTTCCTGCTATAATTCAGCCCACTTCCCCCTGGTTTTTTGACTTTATTCCAATAGCTTCTTCATGTCAATGTATCTTAGCCACCCTCTCTTAATTGGCCTTAGCATTGTTACTCTGGCACTAACTGCCTTTCTGTCCTCCTCCGTTATCTTTGGAACCTCTTCTTTTTCTTTTTACCACCAGCCTGAACCAGTGTTACAGGGCACGACATTTGAAGGTTTCATCTGCACCGCAGTTCCAGGACAGATCACACGTGTTACTGAAACTGTGAGCAAGACTCAACCATCGAAAAATCCGATAGAGGTAAAGCAGACGAATGGCTAGACAAATTGCATGACAATCCACTGATTCCTGGAACTGTTCCTCAGGACTTGAAATCGAACTCTAGGAAATCAACTGATTTCCAATATCCAATATTGATAGTGCGAGCGTAGAAAACTGGTAGTTTTTGATCTCTCGCGTCTAGTTCTTAGGGCTTGGTTCCAGTTGTTCGGTTTACTCCTGCAGTGGACGAGGAAATCCCTCTGCTTTCTTGCTTTTAGCTTCGGTGAGGTGGATGTTTTGTGGGTTAGTAGGTTGTAATTTGTAGAGTGATTAGGGAGCTACGGGTTGCTGGGAAGTTTAGAGAACTGCCATGACTCCTGTCTGTGTAGGTACCTGAAGAGAATAGTAAGGTAGTGGTAAAGGAATGAAGAGAGAATAAAGAAGAGAGTGAAGTAGCACCATAGAGACTCTGGGAGCTGGGTTAAGGCCGTATCGCTAACCATCCTTGCCTTTAAACAGGAGTTTACGTAGATAGCCACTCCCCCTCCTGCTCTATGTTCCCTGTCCCTGCGGAAGAGTTCCATGCCAGCAACACGCATCTCTTCGTCGGAGATGTCCGATGAGAGCCAGGATTCGGTGATGAATATGATGTCGTAGTGCTGATGTTCACGCAGCGTCCTCATTTTGCTACCTTCCCTTTAGCCCCCTAACGTTGCTGTACATACATATTAGAGTGTGCCTGATGAGAGGGGAGGTCTGGATGTGTATTTTCGCGGGATGAGCGCTTACGTGGTTGATTTTAGCCTCGCCAGTCCTCATAGGACTGGCATTGTTCCGTTTTTTGTGTTTTGTTCTTAACTTGGGTGGGGGCTGTAGCAGTGGTGGCTTCTTTACTTGATGTATCTAACTCACTGGTCAGCGCCTGTGTGACGACCACTGACTCCAGAGGTCTTGGTGGTTGCCGTCTCTCCTCTTGCCTTGTGGGTCTAGGCTTACTTTCACATATACGTATTGAGCCACCCATGCGATCTTTCGCATTATACCATGCGTGCAGAACGTCTGTGAGGGAGGCATATGAGTCGAACTGGACGGCAAGTAGTCTGGGATTGGGTATGGTCTTCAGGTGCGCTGGCCTTGGCAGTCTACTGACGCTGTTGGCCGGTATACTGTTGAGACCAACTTTGGTTGAGAGCCATTGCCATTGTTGGACGTCGTGAAAGTACCGATCTTTGACCGAGCTGTCACTTGGCAATTCTGGAATCCCATGTACAACTATAGTGTTGTTTCTGTTGGGATTTCCAACCGCTGACTTTCTCTCCTCCTCTCTTATTGACCATGGCTTGTCAGGCCTGGCCCGAATTTTACAGGCATTAACAACGTCCGGTTGTCGCGAGAGAAGGAGTGTGTCTTCAGCCTCTTTGGCGGTATTTAGGGACACACGTAAAGGGGGTGGCTTATCTCGGGGTGCATGGCTTCCTCGAGAAAGGCGACACAAAGTTGCAGGGAGGGGAGGGAGTCCCAGCATCTGACAGTAGTCGGTCCACATTCGGCTGTCAAATTGTTCCCTCTCGACCAACAATGAGTCTGTCGATACATCGACGTTGAACAAAATGATCGAGTTGGTCCTCCTGTGACCTGGGTTCGTTGTGGGTGGCACGCCCGACTTCCCAATGGGTTTGAGTAATTCCACTGGTTGTTTCTCAGTCACGGTGTGTGGGGTGTTCGGAATGGGTTTCGTAGAGGCTTCGGCGGTCGATGTCTTTGGCCATGCGCTTGACGTCCCCTGGGGCCGGGTAGGGGGTATGGAGACTTGACCTAATATGGTCCCCACGCGAGGTGGCGTGCCCACAGCTGGAGCTCTAGGTCTGTTTCCAGGTCTCTCTGTGTTATCCTTTGGTGTTAACCCTACTTTATTCGAGGATGCTGGTAGCTTTTGCGTGGCGGAGAGCATCTCCTTCAGGCTTTCTGTGCGGAGTGCGGGCATTTTCCTGCACTCTGGACAGATGTACCAGAACCACTTGCATGGTTGTCTCTTCATCAGCTTATAGTATTGTCGGGGGACTTTGGTATCGCAGTGGCAATGCACCCATCGTTGACATAGGTTGCATGCAAATGCCTCATCGACTACCGAAACAACTTTGGTGCAAACACTGCAGCCATCGGGTGTCGTAATACAGCCTTCCTTCCATGAATAAGGTGCTACGGATTGTGGCGAACTGCTTGTGGCTGCCTTGTTCTGAAGCCTTTTACGTCGTCTTCTATTTCAGGCATGGTATGATCCTTGCTCAAGATAGGACTAGTTTGTGACGGGCTAGTGCTACTCTGTGTCACCTGTCTGATGGCTACTGGAATTCTAGAAACATGGGTTGGCCACTTCTTCAGAAGTTCGGTGTTCTGCCCTACCTCTGTTTGTCTTCTAGTACAGACTAGTGTGTTGTTTAGGGTGTTACTGGCCGTTTTTGTGCACGACCGCGTTATCCGTGTCAAAGCTTCAGACCTAGCGTTTTGGGCAGACATGTCGCTATGATATAAACTTCTTGGGAAAACAAGTAGTTAACAACAATAAGAGGGTTGAAGACTGAATGCAGCAAAAGGACAGAATAGAAAAGGGAAGATAATTTATGTTGGCTCACCTTCAGACACTTGTCACTTGATCCTCTGCTCTTGACCAACGAGTTTAACCGTAAGCTCCAGATGCGTATGTATAACCAGGAAAGATATTTCCTGGGGAATGACCTCCGAGGAGAACCGAGAGCTAAGGCAGTTTGGCAGTTGAAACGCCCAAGAACCACTGACAGGAGGTAGACCGGTTGGTTCAAAGGAATAATAATGCCAATTTTCAACTGTTGAGGAGTGAGCTGACGAATGCGCAGGGGTGAGGTGCGTGGACGGACAGAAGTGCTGCAAACGTTCGATGTTTTTAGATTGAGTATTGCAAGTGGGAGTTTTTCATTGTGGAAAAATCCAAAAGCTGAGAGACGAGCGAAACACGTCACTACTCAAGGGGCGCGCCAACACCCAACTAGCACTGAGTCGATAGTGATATTTTCTGAACCTCACTCATCTACTTTCCATTTTCGATTCCCAGATCACTTTGTCTTCTTGTTGTGAGTTATTGACATTTGTCGACTGTATTTTGAGACTAACTGTCGGTTCAGTTTCGCCCCCTTACTTCCTTTTCTATTTCCCTTTACATTCTGTCCTGAAAACCCCTGGGAATAATGTATTTAGAAGCTAGATAGGAACCAACAAACATCTGGTTACATATGGGGGCTCGTAGAACAGATGTTGGATGGACTTTTCTGGCCGAAAACCATTGTACACTGAGTGCCATGAATTGAAATGCTAACGTTACTCTGTTCGTGAAAGGATGGACACCTTCTTGTTATACAATGACGCTTCCACTAACCAGACGCAAAAAGTGTGTTTGTTACTTCTTTGTTTGCGCTCTGGTGTATATACAGTTTTTAGTTCTGTTATACTTACACACATTCCGAAACACTTACTCAGTTGTAAGTCTTTCTACAATTAATCAGAATTTTCAGGACTTTGGATTTTCCCAACTTAAAAACCACACAGTTTTAATATTAGATCATGGCGAAAACACTCAATGTCTTCGACGCAACAAGTATGTATGGAGTGCGTATAACCGAACACATTCCGAAAGCTGCCGAAAAATATTTATTGGTCTAGGATGTACATCCTTTATATACGACAACTTCTCTCGTAGTTTGTGTCATACTCAAGGTAATATCTGTTAAAATGGATTTTTTTTGCTCGTGGTGAAGAAAAATATTCAAACACTTCTCTTGTATTCATTTCTAGTGGCGCTACGTTCTGTCGTCAATGTGTTTATATTCCGTTGATCTTGTGCATTTTGTTACATCCACCACCAATTCGCTCATTAGACGCCAAAGTTGACTGAGACTCCAAAAACTAGCCCTGAGGTCTGGACATGGTAGCTTAAAAGCTGTCAGTTCCCAATACTGGCACCTATCGTGTTCGATTATACCTGTTTACTCAATGCACTTCCCTGAAGTTGTTTGAGTTGCCTACAATTTGTTTCGAAAATTAAGATGAGTCCTGCTTCTTAGGTCGAATTCCAGTGATTTCTATCTACGTAAAGATGATCTGAATAAGTGGTGTGCCGACTAATTTGTTACTCCGTAGTTATGCCTTTAATTAGGTAAGCAGGTCGCACTTTGTTGGCGCTTTGGATTTTCTGGTGTATATAAGACTGTTGATGGCAGTTTACTGCATTTTGTTTAGTTTTGGTTATATGATTGCGTGTTTGCTTCACATTGTGGTAACTGATTATCTTAGTTTTCTATATTAACATTTATGGGTCGCTTTGCAGATGTCTTGATTGCAAATGGAGATACAGTTTTACAGGACAGTACGATGGTCTATAATCACTGTAAAAGTGTAGGTATATTGTTGTGTGGTGAGCATTGGAAATTTAATGAAGTCAAAGTTGAAGTGCTGAAAAATCGGTGGCAGACGTATTCACTTTTCATCTCTCTGATAATCTTGCTTGTGTTATCACTGTATGCTATCTGCGTCGTACCTCTGTTATAGATTTCCATTATGAATATACTTGTTGCCTCACTGCTTTAACTGTGTGCGGCAGTATTGCTGAGTATCTTTTTGTATGACAACCATGTTTAGTTTTGTATATTCTGTTTGGTTCCAGTGTTTAATTGCAGAGTAACCTAGTGTGCTTTGTACCTAGTGTAATATTCTCATAAAGTTTCCATATTGTGTAGACATCTTTCATGTTTTGTGCTCTTTGTCACTTCTAAAGTCTAAAATGACGGATTTCCTTTACAATGTTTTAAGGACACCGCAAACCATTAGTGTACGCCCTCTAATGTTTACCATGTATTAGCGTGTTACGCTAGCCAGCTCAGTTTTCAATTGGTGTAAAGTATTAGAATTTTAACCACACTAGCCACCATTTCACATTTAGCGCCTCTTGGGAGTGATCACTGACGGTTATTATTTTGTTCTTTGTCCTTTAAGTACATATATGACTCAAATATTTCCTAACTTTTATTTGAATTTAGTGATAAACCATTTAATTGATTTTCAGAAAACCTGAATGAGCGACCATCCTTTCTAGGATGCTACCTCATCAGGCTTAATGAACTTAAAGTCGTAAAACCAGGTGAATACAAGCTTGATGATGATTGTATAAGCATATGTCGTTCTCTTGGGGTAGCCTATTCATGGTTGGGTCCCAATCGCACTTGCTGGTGTCGGATGAATTTTCCCGACAAATCAAGTGGTGTGTCACTTTCTCAGTGTTCAATGAACTGTGTTCTTGGAGAACGTGGTTTCAGTGAGGATAACCACTTATGCCCCGACCTAGTTCCTGTTCGCATTTATGCAACCAAGGCGAATCCTCCTTACCATCCTGTTCCCCGTATGTTTAATTTTTACGTATTCATGTATAAATCACTGCTGCCTATTTAAATGTAGAATCACATTTTTTTAAAATATTGAAGTGATATTTTACTTATCTGCATGTTGGCTTCAATTACGAAAACGTTTTTGTGATCTACGGGAGGGGCTGTCAGAAAAATATGTTAGCACTCCATTTTTTACTGCCTGAACTAGGTTATGACATACAGTGCAATCAGTTTTCTACTTCAGGCACTCACGGCTGAGATGAAGGTAGAAGACAGAAACCACAAAATTTATTAACCACTGAGGTAATCACCTACAGACTGAAAATGCAACGTATTGGTCAGTGATTGAAAAACCTCTTTTTAGTAAATTTATCCGTCATTTTACTCGTACAATCTGAAGCAAAATATTAATGCATAAACGGAATTTCTAACCAGAATAGACAATAGATTTTAATGGAAAATAACTGTGTATACCTATGATTGTACATTCGAGAAAATGTGAAAGTAGAACAACTAAAATACTTTCAGTTTCTTAGTTTCGAAATAAGTGTAAATTTCCCAGTGGATACTTCAAGTTTTCAACTTCATCAGTTGATGGACAGAATTTTAGAATTAAGGCTTACTAGATAAGGCACCCTCTCCAACCAGTGAGTCATAAATGTGAATCCCACTTCACATAAAGACGTTAATAGTCTCACCGAATGATCCAAACAGTAAAAAGTTCTACCAAAGCCTTATACCATTAAACAGCACAGAAAAAACCACTTAAGATGAAAAGTGATAAAGGGAGATACGATATAAGAAATAGGGATAGATATGAGAAACGTATGATTTTAAGAAACTAGGGTGTTCACTTTTATGACCAGCTGTAAAGAGATTGGATTTGCGACGCTAACATCAGTTGTGTTGTGTGCCATTCGCCTTATGAAACCAACTTCCATACTTTCAAAATTCTCAGTCAAGTCACAATTTTTATCTTAAAGTGGTGGTCGGTAACCTTTTCCTCCCTCCAACCAATTCAAAAAGCGATATACAGTTGTGTTAATACGCACGAAAACTCATTGGAATATCACACATCTGCTTAGACCCGAAATCATTTGCTTGGGTCTACAGGTTATGGAAACCAATGCAAACGTTGCAGAAGATGACAGCCGTCCCTTTATCTTCTATAAAAATAACTGTTGACTATGTGGTCTATCTTTGACTACTCATGTATTGATTTGTATGATTTCCTAGTGTATTTACGTAAATGTGGGTGGTTTATTTTATTCACGCAGGAGTGAAGTGCAGGAACTTGACATGTCCAGTGATAATGTTTGCTGTTTAAATAAAAGCAAGACTACTAAGAAAACCTTTCGAGGCAAGAGTTCGCTGGATTTACAGTGACAATCAGGATGAGAAGAGCAAAAAAGGTTAAATTAACTAATATGGGAAGAGTATAGTCAAGACAGAAATTAACCTCGTTGATAAAGAAATTGTTCAAAATGACATTTGTTCATAGGATGGGACCAGTTATAAAGCGGTAAACAGCTGATCTTAAAACCGATTATGAATAAAATAGTCTTAGGGCTAAAATATCATTAACTTATAAGACCAGAAGAAAAATGTCGATGTACTGAACGTGAGTTAGTTCGTGATAAAGATTCAGCAAGCACATAGATTAATAGGTCCTAACATTTAATATGAGGAAGATACGCGACGAGTTATCGTCTAGAAGAATGCAACCCGTGTACTTTGCTACTCAGTAGAAGCTACTGGTGTCCGTCAAAGCGTCTGTGAACAGCAGTGAGGGAAAGAAAATCTAATCAAGAGTCGGGGGAAAGGAAGTAGGGCGGGATGATGAGATGCGACATGACGATTGGAACGAAGATAATATATGCATGCATTTGCACCACTAAGGTAGGTCCTGATCACTGTCACCTAGTTTTTCAACTGTAGATTTTGGCTGCCTTGCGAATCCCAACCTAGGAGTAAATATTTCTTTGCATGGTTCATACCAACAGCAAATGAAGAAGGAAGTATTTTTCAAGCGGTTCTGTTGAAGCCTTGTCTTATAGTTTTCTGAACTTATCACTTTTACCAGTTAATCTTGCAGAAAGTGTTTTCGGAACAGTTGATCAATTTAGTGTGGCGATGGTATTTTTCACGTACTGTGCAGTCTTGTGCACTTCGTGCAGTAGGCAGTGAGCCACACCTATTGTGTAAGGGCTAATGATACTACCTGACTGCCCAAACCTGGAGCGGTATTTGAACCCATGATTCGTGACCTACTCATACTGCGTTATGAGTGTATCACAGTAATCATTCTCTGTGAAAGCTCTGTAATTTCCTAGCATGGTACACGCGGTGGGTCCATTATGTTTTATCTAGATTTTAGAAATTATGAAGTAAATGTATTAACGTCTAATTTGTTAAAAACTGTTAAAAGTTTTATATTAATCCTAGTAATTAGTGCACGGAATGAAGATGCGCTTTGATTTATTTCTCATATAAGGGTTTGGTAGCTTTTCAGAGTTGTGTTAAGATCTCATAGTTTGTTGCTGTTTATTTCATATTCAACATAAAGCAAACAGTGGAACATTGACCATGAGAAGTTATCTGCTTTCATTTTGTACTCAAACGTATGAGAATTTCAGGACACCACCTCACTACCAGGTACTATATTTAAAATCTTGACTACTACCCTAAGATGGTATTTGCTGTTAAATTTAACCACGTGCAGTTCATATTTTCGCTTCACCTATCTTTAAAAGCATGATTTAAATTTCTACACTTCTTATAGGTCTAGATATTCTGAATTACTGACGATTCAGATATTTATAATTGGATTACAGTTTTGTTTCAAATATATACTTTGTGAACTAACTTGAGAATGCTTTCATAATTCGTTAAACGGGTTTTAAACTTTAACTCTTTTCCCTTTTTAGTCCCTTTAAAGTCTGGGCTTGTCGACCTACAGTTGACAGAACCTATAAGAATTGTTTACTTACTTGTCTGGAATGGAAGAAGCTGGTTTCATATCCGTCGAATGTTCAAGCTTATTTATCATATTCGACATTACTTTTACATTCATGTCGATGCGGTTAGTAACAATTATCTTAAGGGTTTTTGATAGCCTTCAGCGATTTGAATTCGCTGTGTGTTTATTCGGTATCCTTGAGTGTGTTGTATGTTGCCTTCGATTTCAGCATTCATTTTCATCTTCTGTAGTGTATTCGCACATCATATATTTGGTGTAGATAAGATTTGGGTACAGGTCATAACCCTTTCTCGTATACGGACATGATTATATCTCTATTATTGCGTAAAGAATTTTGTATTTCATTTTGTTCCTAGTTTGTATGAGTCACTATATGGATGGAAACAGCACATCAAACGTGCTTGTTGGCCATCGCAGAATATTTAGTCATACAAATGCTTGTTCTAACACTATTTTGCAATTATATATATAATTCTAAATCGCACACTTGTTAGTGGTTTCGTGTACCTGGATAGTTAGTTACATTTTTGAGATATGATTTTGAGCAATAATTTGTGCTTGTAACGTCATCAAGTAAATAGTGCTATATCACAGTGTGCCATATCAGATAAGCAAATCTAATGTGAAATTACATTTTACCATAGTGTTCAAGTTTACACTTATACTTAGGTCAAACATCATGGGTCTGGAAATGAGTAATGTAAGGTTAAAGTCATTTTCACTGGGTTTGTTTTCGAGGTAAAAGTGAATATATTATGAAGAGATTGTGGTCGATAGTTAGTTATTTGAGCGACAGGTAAAAATAATTAAAGTCAGTAATGATCAATAGCTGGACTGGAAGTGTACATTAAAGTGATACTTCTCAACTGTTCACACTAAAGGGGTGAATTTCGAAGCATTTAAATAAAGCGAAATCAGTGTTTTTAGTGTATCCGACCCAATAGTGTGACTACATAGACTAGGAAATATGTCATTTTATAGGAACTTCTTTTGGTCGTCGAATAATCTTTATCACTGGCACTGAAAGACTTATCCAAGTTACAACATGCAGTTTTAGGGTCGATCATTCCTAATCCCTCCTTTTCATGATGACAAGGCAGTGCTACTGAACATGCAACCAAAAATAAGATCTTGTCCCATAATCTCTGTCGTGATGCTATGCAAGGTAGGCACATTATAGCATGGCAGGATCCTGAAAAACGTGTTCTTTCCACCGATAGGCCCCAACTAAGTGACTAGTAGGTAAGTTTCCCGGTGGGTTGTACCAGAAACCATCTTCATAACATTACTTGCCTGCGGTAAAAGGCCGGGATCGTCTGAGCTGGATTCGTGATGAACATCAGGCTTCATTGAGCTGAATGCAGTTTAAATGTGTTCATACTTTTTTACAATAACATTTGTATGCTAGTCAAAATTATCTGTTACACTGAATATTTTGTGCAGCATTATGTTTATTTCCTGCATGACATAATCTCAGTTCTTCACTGAAGGGGGTCTTACCAATAAAATGTAGCGGTCAGCTAATTTTCTGTGCTGCAACTGTATGCAATCTAGTCATTTTCCATACTTTAATAATTAGATCCATATCTAAATCAGGGAAATTTTGGATCCACATTATTCAGTCAGTATTTCTTCCTAAACTTAACCTACACACCTTGCAAACGGGAAGCACTTCCTATTTATAGAGCAGAAGTATAAGGAACGTGATAACTGACTCGAGTGTAAGCCATTAATTATTATATCCCGGGTGAATCGGATCAAATCGAAATCCACTCGGCAACCTTGTGCACATTCATGCATTAGGCTATAAGCCACACTTATCGTGTGAGGGCTAGTGATACACTGTTTGGCTGCCCAGACCTCACTAGGCGGAGCTGCGCTCGACCCCGCGACCCATCGGTTGACAGACCTCCTTAAACCAATTAGCCATAAATCCATGGGTGATAAGTAGTATACTTCCTGTGACCTGTCTAGTTTGGAGGTTAAGCTGTTTATCTTTATCGATTTCCCCATCTTTTTTTGAATCTGTTGTCACCAGATGTTGTTGAAGAATAAGATATGAATCCTTGTTTTGAAACAATGTCTGAAATTATTCTCCATTTTAGCGATGCGATTATTTGTTTACAATGGTGAAATCATTTATTCGGAATTATCCCCCAAATGTTTATATAACACCCACGCGACTTTCACCAGTTTGGGGTGGACAAAGCCTACTTGATATGTTCCTGTCATCATTGAAAGATTTATCAACCAACATGCGCGATTGGAAGTGGGATTTCGTGATCAATTTGAGTGAAAGTGACATGCCTATTAGGTAAAGTTTCATTTTTTACTTACTAATATGCAATTAACTACCCTGAAATATTCTGTATACATTGACTAAAAAAACTTTTTCCCAACAAAACTTATTGTCTCTTACTCTTTTCTCCGTATCTTTTAACTTGGGTTAAATTGACGGATAAATTTTTTACAAAGGAATATTTGGTAGCAGGATTGTTGAAGAACTGAATACTGTTCTTCTCTGGTACAAAAATCTGGAAGCTGTAAGCGAGGAAATGCTTATGTCCAAACAACCATTAAAAAAGCAAACATGTGAAACCGGAAAGTTGTCGCAGTTTAGTTTTTATAGTGTTGTTTGCCCCTAACTGCTTCAGGAGTCAATTTCCACTTGTTTCTTGCTACTCCAGACAATGATCTTATTCCTCGAGAAGTGCCATAAGTAGTGGGTTCTTTCCAAAATGTGGGAGTAAAAGGTTTTATGAATATTGCTTCTGTACACTTTCAGAGATTCTAGTTTGTCTGCCGATATACGCGTAAATGCCTGATCAACAGACTTCTTGATGAGATTTGGTGTGATCTGCTAAACAGTCACGATCTACACTCTCTCCGATGCAAACAGTTTTTTAGGCTGGTTGGCTGCAATAATATCAGTTTTTTAAAATTGAGCTTTACATTCGTTATGTAGCGGGCTCCTATTTGTGACAAGACTGCTGCTGTCAATTCTCATGGAACAGTCCTGAGGGATACCCTATCACTCTGGAATGAAGCCATTGTTGTAACAATCTTTTAAAAGGGATCTAAGTAAGGTATGCGGTAATCATCGGAGTATCAGTTTACTTTCGGTAGCGTCTAAAATATTGGCTGCTGTCTTACTTTCCAAGCTCTATAAACCGCATGAGGAATTGACGCAAATGGAGTGGGCCGGGTTTCGTTCAGGTCGTGCGTTCATTAATCATGTGTTCACCGTCAATCAAATGTTCGAACATTACAAGTATTTCTGGTCAACGGTCATTGTATTTCCCGATATTAAAACTACCTTGGATTTATTGAACTGAATTGTATGTACTCTGGAATTGTCTATTAAAAACTGGTGTTCCTGAGAAGTTTCTGAATATCTTGGAAGCCCTGTACTTCAACACCACAAGTAGGATAAAAGCACACAGCCACCTCTCACCATTGTTCGAAACCAACAGTTGGGTTGAGCATGGTTGCCCGATTTGTCTATTCCTCTTTAACTTTTCTATCGATGACATTCTGGAGGAAGCGTATGGTGGCAGTAGAAACCTTTATGATCTTGAGTTTACGGATGGTATCGCTTTACTGTGGCGAAAACCAGGTTGATCGAATTACCCTCAGTCAGTTGGTAATCAGCATCTGTCGGTATGGTATGTGCTTCGCACCGTCAAAGTGCAAAGTACTTTTACAATGTTGATAGGAACCTGTGTCTGCACTCACTCTAGCTGATAAACGGTTGAAAGTCGTCGAAAAGTTTGTGTACCTGGGTAATTGTGTGAGTAATGGTTGAGTAGTTATTGATGAGATTTAAAACGATATATCGAAAGTCACAGTGACATGTACAAATCTAGGTCACCTGTCGCCCGAGACTCATAACTGCTACCTGGCAGTCGACTGTGTATATTGCAAATGACCCATTGAGCTTCGTTAGCTGGAGATCCTACCATGCCAGAGAGGTCAGTTGGATGATCACAAGATGAAAGGCAGTCCCTATTGTGCTGTGAGTTGCTACTCTATTATGAGGATCCGAGGGTGAAGTCGTTCAATTAACTGGACGGGGTATGACAGTAGTAGTGTGTTTTGCTGTGGATGACCAGCAATGCCATGTTGATGCTACCTTCCCTATAAAAGCGGAGCCGGGGTTAGAAAAGTTTTGGGCTCCAAAATAACTCACTTCTTGGCCTGTGCCATTTCCATTTCGGCACTATGGATTTCCCTATGCTGGTGTTAGCACATTTAGATCTCAGTCCAAAAATCCTAAAGAGACCGTTTATGACCGATCTCAAGCAGATATGGGCTCTGCCGTCATGCAAAACTACTCATTTTTTCCTTCCAGTTACCTTTCAAAAATACTTCCCACGGTGTGGGCAGCCATGAAGTACTAATCTCCCACATGCTTCCACTAGTATACGAAACCCAGTCAAATATAACCTAGCCTCCCTGCTTTTGTCTCCTCCCTTGCCTTAAATTCCTGATACCAATATTAAGCCTCTTGCAACTTCCTCAACCTCTTATCCTATGAACATAGATCTAATCCATCAAAGCATCATTCCTCGTCTCCTGAAACCCCGCTGTTGACCTCATATTGGAAATTTTCGACGTTCGAACCTTATGACAATTTGTACAACTGATATCCCTTGCCAAAACTCTGGAATCTTCAACCATAGGTGTATGCTGTATTTGTGAGACACGTATACAGAACCTGAATGTGTTTACTAATTCAAACTCACTTGGCCGATACAGTGAATCACCAAGATTCACTCTACGACTATCCAGAAATTCAGTGTTCAGCTCTCGTGAACTCATTGGTGTAGACATGCATTCAGCTGCAGAGCTGCAGTTCTTGATTATATACCAGTCAAAAGTTGTTTATGTTCTTTCAGACTGAATGGATCTGTAAAAACTACGAAGGATCATGGGACTTGTCGATATCTGTTCATAATCTCCGTCTACGCCCTCACTGACTACGGTTCCGATGATACAAAGGATGAATTCGATTAATTGCTCTTAGTTTTACCACATAAAGCAAAACGTTCAGATATAGTCATGATAACAGGAGGCTTCAGGACTCAAGTAGGGAAGCTGATTCAGTTGATTCAGGTGTCGTGGACATATCTATAGTATCCCACGCCAGCGAAGCGATAACATCGGTCGTCTTTTGCTGTTTTCTAAAAATCAGTTGTCTCTAACAGGCACTAACTTCACACATAAGGAGAGATACTGTTTTAATTGGCTTCCGCCAACATCAAACCTAGAGCATATTGCTCTAACTCGTCGTTAGATAGGATCAGCTGGTGATTACCGCTCTTTCTGGTTTATCTTTTTGAACTCTGTCCATGTGTTAGTACAGGGAAATGTATGCTTTTATCTATTGGTCGCAGCAAACAGGTGGCAGAGAAGCCTGTATGTGGTCAATCGAAAGATTAGAACGTCATCACCGTATTTAGGGAGTAAACAGCTAAGCGTTTGTTTGAAATTGAGAGCAATCCTCATCCTGATAAAGTCTGGCGTGGTAGTAAATCTGCTATAGAGAAAACGGTAAAGACAGTTGATAACCTACATCCAAAGGTTAGTAAAAGCTAGCGGATTTTTACAACGTCATCCTGGGTGATTGATGTGAGAAGAGTGGTTCCACCTGGCTCTGATCACGATGAGGAGCGAAAGCAGCCCAAACATAAATTGACGAATAGTCTTCGCAATAATCGCGAGCAGTGGTAGGTGTCGAAAGCGAGAGAGATAGAGAATGTATTAGCATTGGGTAATACTCGGTAATTATTTAAGTTTATTAGGGAAACCGGCAATAAGAAGACGGTCATTGAGATTCACCGAAAAAAAATAGTACCCTGATGACGTCTCCAGACAGATGGCTAGAACATTGAGTGGAACATATGGAGCATAGTTCATCTGGCCCACAGTTGAACTTCACGTGCCCTGCATAAGACGTAGGTGTCGATTCTTCTGGAATTAGAAAGACCTATTTCTAACTTGAAATAATGTAGTCACCCAGAAGTTTTTTAGGATGGAGGTTAGCAGTTTCTCAGTAGAGTAACGGAGATACTAGGTAGCGTGTGGAAATCGTTCTGATTAACATCACATACAAGACTTGTGGTTTTATAGTCGCCTTACGTCTAACTAGATCTCGGGAACAAGAAAGTTGAGGAAACCAGGCAGGTTTCAGACCTGGATGAGAGTGCATCTATCAGATTTTCAACCTTCGACGGATTCTGAAACAGGCATACTTACTAGCTGCCGACACGCGATAATTCTTGATCTGAGGACTTCATTTGACTCTGCCGACTGAGAGGTTTTGTGATGGTGTCTGACCGTTTAGGGAGTACCGAGCAGATATGTAACGCTAATAAAAGTTCTCCACTCAAACTCATACAGTCATGTAAGGGCCCATGGAGAGTTATCATCTGAATTAATGATAACCAGTGGTGTCCGCCAGGGATGCTCACTGCCACCGTTCTTGTTCAACTGTTGTAGATGTATTATTGGGCATAACGTTAGGTATCTCTGACTTTATGGAGATTGATCTGCTTCCAGGAGGGGAAGTGGTTGACTTGAAGTATGAGAACTATATAATCCTGTCAGGTGAGGAATCAGAATCAAAACTAGGGCTGATTACAATATGGTTTCCTTGTTCCATCTATTATCGAGGAGTAAAACGAAAGTAGTGAGTGCTTCTTTGTATGCATGTTTGGGACTACCTCGATAATAACCCATTTATTTTTTTCTCTAAATGAGTAAAATAATGATCGATACTTTCGCTTCACATCATAGTTTCAACGTTATATATGCTTTATAAAATTATATTACACAATAGTGGTGACAGTATTGGTTAGCTAACATTCCCAATCTTTCTTTTAAATGCAGACCGAATCATGAACTGGTTACTTACTTGAGTCACAATCGAGATAAGATTTTCCTACGTTCATTCAGTCATACTGGGCAAAGGTAATCAATTATTAGCAACCCAATATTTATGAATATGTTTTAGTTCTAACATCGGTAATTCAGCATATCAAAGTTACACTTTAATTTTTTTCTTAACACAAATATGACCACCCTTCAAAACCCTTTTTCATGTAATTCACTGTGATCCACAACTTACATTTTAATTGCGAATTTGGCATCCACGTTTGTTAGGATTAGTTTACTCATTCTCAGACTATATTCCAGACATATAGACAGATGGTTTTAGTATACCAGTTTATGAAAATTAATTAGTGCCAAAAAGCTTTAGATTTCCAAGTTTCCATCTGCTACTCTCTTACCGAACAATACAACAGTCAACTAAGCTGCTGTTGTCGTTGTGAACAGCTCGACTGGAGTAGTTCATTAGTCTTTTCTGTATTTGTATCTGTTAGTGGTGTGCCAACTCGTTGCTTTCTTACTTCATTTGAGCGGGCAGATTGTTGACTGTAATTGTCAAAACAGTCTAGCTGTTTAATATTTTTATGCCTTAGTAACATGTTTCTCATGATGGGTGGAATCAACTTATTGCAAAGAAGAATAGTTGTTCTTAGGTTTTTCTCTTCATTGTTTGACTGAGCAAGAAAACGGGTTAACAGTTAGTCTTCATATTCTTTCTGCTTGTGATTCAAATTGAATTCGCTACAAATTATGATCTCTTGATGGATCTGGAATGAAATAAATCCATGATATTCATCTGTGAATGACATCTACTTGACAAACACTGATCCCTTACTGTTCACACATCAAAGTCAGCATTGTCAGTGACCCTTTAGAGTGAATAATAGGACGGAAGGGTTTCTAAGTAGACCAACAACGGGTCATTGGTTTAGGCAGTTGTTGACTGTCAACCAAATAGGTCACGGGTTTGAGCACCGTTCCCCCTACTGAGGTTTGGACAGCCAGGCGGTGCTATCATTAGCCCTCAGAAAATAGGTGTGGCTCATTGCCTGCTATACCAATCTGCACATGGTTGCTGAGTGTATTTTGAAATAGGCCAACTGTGATGCATTCTTTGATAGACTAATCTGTCTATAATGAAATAATAATTGAAATCAAAGTAATTTTGGTTGGGCTTAGATTTGAACCAACGTGAGTGACCTACCAATAAAACTTCCACAGCCAACTGCTGACCAGATCTCAGTTATACTTCAAGCAACAAGAGCTAAATATAACTCGTGTAGATGTAAGGTGTGCAATTACTGTTACTTTATCACATAAGCTTATGTTGCTCTACGTTCTCATAAATAAAGTATGGAAAGTTTCACTATAAGTTACGAAAACAGAATATGCTTTTTGACTTAGTGTAGTTTCCTAAAATAAAATATCATTTGGTATTCTGCAAAATTCATGCATCTAAACATTACTCTAAAATCTTCCCCCCTCCATATTTCTTGTATTAACAGTTTCTTAAGAAATCAAGGTTTCGGTCAATTATTTCTAGAATGTGATTCCTACGTATGGCATTTAGGCGAACGACCTATCCCACCTAGAATTATTTTAGACGGGGGTTCAGACTGGATGATACTACCGAAAGTATTCGTCGATTATGTTATTCACAGTGAGGATCGTTTGATACACGATGTAAAAGAATATTTTCGTTATAGTCTACTACCAGTTGAGGTAAGTATGTTTCTGAAAAGATTTCAAAATTACTCCAGGGTTACATGTTGATTTCTTTGATGGAAGATTCTTCGCTGCATCTTTCTCAGCCATCTTAATGGCATGGTTATTTACTCTTTCCCAACATATAGCTGGTTAATTTCCTTCCACTAGTCTCATATAATCACATTGCAGTTTGGTGTTTTAGTCACCGAAGGGAAGTAAAGTCTCACTTCAAACAAAGCGTACTTGTTTTGATGTTTTACTGCTAACTTTTGAGATGGAAGAAGGTAATTTTAAGTTTCAAATCCATTCTCAAAAATTCTTGGTCTTAATTTTTGTTCTTGTTAACACTCAACAGAAAAATATACCCACGACCTTGAGGAAACCCATATTTCTTCCGAGATATGAGCTTGTTTGGTTTACTAGTGAAATTAGAGTTTTTCTCGCCATGCCGTTCTGTTTGGGAATATTCAGCTATAGGATTATGTGCTGGAGTTGGTCACCGGGTGACAGCATAAACTCGTCAAATCCTTAGTACTTTATAAAGCCCGTCGATCAAGTTTCCAATGTGGACAAGAAACTAAGAGGTACGCTATTGCAGTGCACTATAATGGTAAACAGTCCAAATAATCTAGTGATAAAGTCTCTGACTTCAACACCATGGGATACAGATCTAAATTTTCGAGGTACATGAGTTTTTTTGAGGGTTGCAGATACACCTTCTTGATGATATGTTGCCAATCACCTAGCACCGGGACTTCTTACTTGTGTAAGCAGCAGGCCCGCACTGTTTCACTTTTGTCTGAAATTAAAGCTTTTTAGATGCATTGCTTTATTTGAACAAGTTATTGTCATAAAGAATGAAAAGTCTTATTATTGAAATGACGGTTGTAACAGTTTCGTATCATATGGTTGAACCGTTCTGGATGAAAGTGTGTGTATGTGGTTATATGTGAACATGTTGATTAGCAGATGATAATGGTTTTTATTTCGCTTTCATGTCCCGTTCTGAATAAACAAAGTCAGTAACCTCACTAAGAGAAGTCATTTTCCAGCGAGTACCCTGTTGACACCATATTTAGCCAATTGAGAAACTACTCAACTGCGAGAAATATCAACGTAGACATGCGATTTGTAAATCATTCACAAACTGACCATCCTATTTAAGGTATATTGATCTATGCAAGTCACACTCAGTTGGTCTGAACACTTTGGCTCTTTGAACCGAATTTGTCCGGATAAACCACTGATAAGCTTAGTGTTTCTGCTTGTTCTATTTTTCTCATTCTACTGTTGTGGAATGTGATACTTTAGGTTGGTTCAGTCCCTGCTTTGTACTGAACAGTCAGCTGTTATATAATAACTTTATAAATGTATTTTGTGTTCTTAATAGATTGATGATTTTTTACTGTTTATTTTTCGTACATTTATACTTTACTCTTGTAGAGTTTTTTTCATACCGTCGCACAGAATACGCATTTTTGCACTTCAGTTATCAATCATTATCTAAGATTCATCAATTGGAAAAGACCACAAGGCTGTGGATGTAAGTATGGAAGTGTGGTTGACTGGTGCGGTTGCTCTCCACTAACTCTGAATGGACCAAAAGATGCTGAATCTCTGTGTGAACTAACTGGGAAATGTTTAAAGCCGAACTATGACTTACAACCTTTATTTTTTGCACGCAAATTCGATTCAACCATTGATATTGGGATAATAAATTTTATTGTATCGAAATTATTGGAGCGTCATGATATAAAAGGTAACCGGATCAAGTATATAACTATTTATTTTTACTTTGTAGCAATTATCTGACAGCAAACGGTGCGTCCCATTAAGTTATTGAAATCTGTATTGAGACGAAATTCATTCGATTGCTTTAGCAATATACCGTTTCTTAATAAACATTATGTTACCAGTTTAGCATGATCCAATTGTTCGAAATTCTCTATTCCGTGGATTTTATGATAATTATTGATAGCAGACTAATTAACTGGAAGAATTGAAGGTTCGTGTTTCTTCCATTTTAGTTCGTTTTCATCAGTTTTGTCCCACAGTGGAGCGGTAGCCTTTACTGATTAGCGTTTTGAACATAATTTGTTGTCCATAGTCATATTTAAGTTCTTTTTTTACTGTGTAATGCGTCTGACAAAAAAAACTAAAACTAAGTTGCAATCAGTGACAAGCGCCCAAGTTTTGCCTCAGGTTCACGTTTCTACTGCATAATAAATGAATCGTTCAATATTCCTTTCCAATGGAAATGGAGTTGGGTTGACTACCTGTTGACTCTTCTCCACGGTAGCTACTAACCAAGTTAGTAACCCTTGTGTCATGAGTAAGCAGAAGTATTCTCGTCCTAAGTTGAAACTATAACAGTAGCTTTTAGTCACTGAAAAAGCAATCACTTTCATGATACTTGGTTTAATCTGTGTTTCACTGTTCTTAGATCTGCTGACGAATCTGGGTACAGGCTTTTTCTATGGATGTGTTCAATATGCGACTTTGAAAACACAGGCAAACCACTGTTGGTGTGAACTTAATAAGGAAGACTTGTATAAGATGTTTGTATACGAGTGAATTATACCATTAACAGACGAATAGAGAGGTTAGCTCATTGAATACACTAGTGATTGTTTTGCTGCATTGTAATTTCATTCACTGTGAAATGTCAACCTGAATGCAGTGAGTGACGTTCAACCAATATTTAATCGTGCTTTGAACCATCATGTCTAAACTTGTCGAAACATATATAAATAATCAGCAGTTGAATTTCTAGTCAGAGTAGATGTGTTAACAACCTCCAAATCCCATTTTAAATACTGGCCTACGTCTTTTCCTATACATTGCGGATACAACCGACTTAAGATATAAAGAAGGCAGTTAAACTGTTTATCTTATCCTGTAGTCATCCGACTGACAGAAAGATGGTAATATAGGTGCTTTCATTCTGGATCTGTAGAGCTATGGTTAATTAGTCTTAGCACTTGATTTCCAACCGATGGATTATGGGTTCGAATCAAGCTCTACCTTCTGAGGTTTGGGCAGCCAGGTAGTATCATTATCTTTCATACAATAGGTGTGACTCATTACCTACTGCATTAATGTACACAAGGTTGCTATGACTGGACTTTGACTTTTTTTCCATTGTAGATCTATTGTCTATCTAGATCATAGTAAGACATTTTGTTTTGGCCAGAATTCAGTTTTGCGAAAACTCCCACTTATAGATTTAAAAAGCATGAATTTTTCCAATGGGCCTGTCATCAACGTTTCTACACTAATATATAGCAGATTTCAAACAATCCAGTAAAATATACCAGTCTAGTAGTAAGTAGTTACTACCTCCAAGATTCTCATTTTCGAGATATTAAGGTGTTGATAATTACTAAAGGAAATTGACACAATCAAAAAAATTAATAATAATCTAACAGTAAATTTATGAAAGTTAAAACCGGTTTTTACTTAATTGAGTCTGTATAGGATTTATTAACAAGGAGAATAAATGATTTTCTCAGTTGGTCAGTAACGAATAATAATAACTATAATTATTACTATTATTACTACCATTTTTGTTATGATTATTATTAGAACACAAACGTGGTACAGCAAGGGCACCAAGAAATGCACCACACAAAATAATATAACAACATTATGAAGACATAAAGCAAAGGGAAGTGTATAAGTTAAAAAGAGAAACACGATAAGAATAGGATGATTAGAAGGGCAGTCCAGTGAGGTACATTCGAAACGAAACATTCATTACTTTTCAGCAGCACATGATAGAAGAAGGCTACAGCATGACCGCCAGTGGTTTCGATTCTGAGCCATATCTAATAACCTCTCAAGCCACTGAGCTGTGTAATTGATAATACTTGGGGTTGAGTAGAAACGGACATATAAAAATAAGCCTCCTTATAGCTAACTCACAAGATGAATAGTGGGAAACGTCATTTTGTATATATAAGTTTACGGATGTCTCAAACAAAGAAAGAGGTTGTGCATATGAATCCCAATATTGTTTGCTATACGTAAAACACGAGCTCACGATATGCTAGTGAGATCGGATAGAATTTGATCAGTAAATCTAAAGCTACTATTTGTATCAACAGGATGTGCAAGCAAATGCAAGAATGTTGAGCTCCATAATGATGTTGTATATACCCATCGTCTAACTAGAGTATACGATATTCGGAGATTTGATAGTGAAATGATCTAATTAACTAAAACTGGCTCTACAGGAGCATTTGAACTCGTAAATGAACAGATAAGGCGAAGTCAGGCTGTCTATTTTTGTTTTAGGAACTCAGCATCAATCGAGTAAAGTAAGTGCGGCGTAAATTTGCTATATTGAATGATGTTTTTTAGCACTCTTTGGATTCCGTTTCACAACCTATTTGATAATGTCACTCCGAAACAGTAGTTTCATAAATAGAGATTTCTTAGGAATCGTTAGATCAAGATCACTCTTGAACTAACCAATTTAGTGTCCACCTAGGTATCTTAATATTCTGGGAAGAGCAACATTAGCTACCACAAATGAACTGTTTGTTATCTTTCTTATCCAATTTTTAAAAGGAAATTTTTAGTTTGTAGCTGGTGTTATGATGAAGTCGATAAGTTTCGGTACAGTATGAACTGAAAGTTGAAGTCACGCATTATGAAATGCGTTCAAGAATTCTAAACCAGGCATTCAAGTAGAAGCTTCAGTAATCCGAAATCTAACGCTTGAGTGCTGCCTAAAATTCCGGAGTAAAAATTAAAAAACTTATTTAGAATAACCTACTAAAAAATAGCAATGGTGAATAAGCAGGTTACAAGTTTCTAATCATGATCTACCTAGGTTTTGATTACATCACCAAAAAGCACAGTGCGTTAATAAACGAAAAAGATAGCACGAAGTTGTGTTCATATCACAGCACACTTGTGACTGAAAAGCGCGCTTAAGATAAGCAAACGTTCAAGGAATGAAGGAAGAAGGTACAATATAATCATGGAATAATACGAGGAGCTGATATTGTAAAATACTCACTTGCCCATCAAAATATACTGTAACAAACTTTATACTCAACAATGTGTATGAAGCAACATAAAGTAAGACGTGGTTGGTAATACTACTTATTTACATCAAGTAGCATAAAGTTGAAAGTTGAAAAATCCACAAAAATTCCGGCAAAATGTTAACAGATTTAATGAGTAGTTAGTCTTAAATTGTTGTTCATGTTCGATAAGAGACTTGTTTTACCATTCAAATCTCCGATAAGACTGGTACCTTGGTGCAAAACATTGCTGTAGGTTATCTCTAGGTAACACCGAGAAGCTTTACGGGTAGAAGTCAATCTTTATGATAGTAGATGATGTTACCAGTTGCTTATTGCTTTCCACATACTAAGATGTGGTTTTGCACGGATTAATCTTTAAGTGACTGTCACATGAGAACGATAAGAGCTAATAGGACTTGCATTTTGGGGTTCGTGGGAACTTCGTGATTTTTCATATCTGTGTTCATCATGGACCGACATCGGTTGGAAAAACACTGGAAATCTGGGAGCACTGGACGGCTGTTTTATCCTAGTATGGAACATCTCAGCAGTGTGCACGCATGACCCCACCAGGGATCAAACCCAAGACCTTCAGGTCCCGTGATCAGCACGTTACCGTTGAACCACTGAGTCGAAATCCAATGGTCCATATTCTCAACTTCTGTCGGTTCACGACATAGCAGGACCATCACTCAATGTGGACCATTGGATACCAAGCCGGTGGTTCAGTGGTAACGTGCTGGTCACGGAACCTGAAGGTCTTGGGTTTGATCCCTGGTGGGGTCATGCGTGCACACTGCTGAGATGTTCCATACTAGGACAAAACAGCCGTCCAGTGCTCCCAGATTTCCAGTGTTTTTCCAGCTGATGTCTATTTGCGCTTGTAGTAGAGTTTCTACATGTATTTTGTCACATCAGCTTAACTGTTTATCGTAATGAAACAAGGTTCATGTGTTTTATCCGATGTTTTTTGTCCTTTAGACAACATAAATAGTGATAATTACTACCTAGAAAATATATATTCGAAAGAAGAAAATTTGCTTACAGATAATCCTCATCAGCAAACATTGCATTTAGCATTGAATTGTTTGTCTCAAAGACTAATGCTGCAATTATTTGGAACCTACAATCACAACCAGGATATATTCTGTGAGTCTCATTTTTTATGAGATTTTTGTTAGGCGTATTAACTGGCTCGATGAACAGACTTAATAGAATACTAGAGTGTGTGTTTTTAATACAAAATGGACAGGTTCTTCCTTCTTCTACACCATCATCATCGTCTTTCTATGATCACAGCTGTTTATTATTTGTGAAATTTCTATCCTATATGACTTGTTCAATCTGCTTTTCACTGTTTCTGTTGATGATATCCCCGTTCTAGATTTATCTTTACCGTTTCAGATTTCAAGCAGCTCTCAGTATGGGTGCTGACATTTTCGATGAGACACTGGGACCACCTTATAGGTCAGAAGTAGTAGTAGTAGTAGTTCTGTGTACATTAATGGAAATAGAAATGTAACACTGCTTGACCGATTCGGTTTTGTGAAGTAACGACTAACAATTGTTGAGCAAATGATCATCTTCAGTACGTTATACTGAAATCAGTAGTCTCACGTTAGACTCAATTTCCACTGAGCTTATTTCTTTTGCAACACATGCACACTCAGCTGAAGATGGAGCTGTATCCAGTTAATGATGATTTTCGGGAGAGCATCGAAATGTATTTCAAGAATATGTTACTAACCATGATAGAGATATCATCTTTTGAATGGATCTGTCCAGTCTTTATTTCAGTTTTATTTCATTTTGCCAATAGCATTAATTGAATTCATGGTTTAAAAAATTTTTTGTTTCTGAGTAATTTTCCGTACGATCATTGAAAGCCTTAAAAACAAGAAAAACATTGATCGTAATTATTAAAGCGTTGACTCGGTGTTTAGCTGATTTAATTCTATCAGATCAGATCTTCACCCTTATATTTATAATATTTATTTACTTATTTTAGCCATTCCAGCTGTAAGAAGTCCCGTACTAACTTTACTACTGATGTTGTCTATTGAGACTTTGATTCTAGTTGTATTTTTATAATACATTTTCTGAAGCAAGACGTGTATCGTCTAGTGGAACAGATTTCAACGTTAATGGCTTTCTTAAAAATAAAAAATCTAGGTGATCTGTCTACCAGTTCCAGTCTAAAATCAGTTAATATAAAAATAATTGAAATGGTCAAAAGAAACTGATTAACATTATTGTGATGTTTGTGAGGGCTGGTAATGTTCCCTGGCTGTCCAAATTGCAATGGATGTAGTAGGGTTCGAAACCCCTGGCCAACAGGTTGAAAGTCGACTCCTTAAACCAATGAACCATGGCTTTCGCGGGATTGTAAGCTGGTTATCAACAGCTTAAAGAAGAGTTCTCTACTTACGTGATAAACAATACATCCCTCATTGGTTGAAGGCAGGTATAGGTTGATCGCTTACCACCATTTATTCATCACATCAGAAGCTTATGCTAGAGATGGATATCAAATTAGGATCTATCCTATATTTCAGTGAACAACACAAGGTATCTGGTCAGTTAAGTAGATCATTCACGAATAGAATAAATTTGTATTTCCAGTCATGAACTGTCTGTCTACATTTTCTATCGGTCACTCTATAGTAGTTCTCCGGTTTTCATGGTTGCACTGGAATCATCTAAAATTATCCAATTGGATAGCACTTGTAAAATGCTTACTAAACTAAATAAAACAAAGTCATATATTGCTTTGTTTATTTTCCCTCCTGTCATCAATAATATTCACCTTTATGACTGTGTGATAATAGCTGGGATACCTAGTTACCTATTTTTGTGTGAATTACAACCTAACACATCTTTCTACCTTTTGATTGGTTTATTGAGTAATTAAAATTGAAAACTAGTTGATTTAGTTATTCTTTTATGGTAACAGATTCAAGTGTTATTGCTTGTATTACACCGTCGTTGATTGGATCATCATTACTAAACATATTCAAGGTTGTAAATTTTTGTTTAAGTGGAAAGTATCGAGGAAGAACCGCTTAAAATTTTCCCCTTGTCTTCTGAGTACATTAACTAGCCACTGGAACATTTTGGATGAGATACTGGGACCACCTTATAGGTCAGAAGTAGTAGTAGTTCTGTCTACATTAGTGGAAATGTAAATAGTTTGGCCCTTTCTACCTCATTTCGATGAAAATATATTTCCTCCTCCAATAAGGTTACCTAGTGATATAGTGACGTCAGA